AACTTCAGCGGAAAGATGTCCGGTGTTTGCTCGGGACTACAGACCAAATCATGGTCTCTGGACTAAAGCACATGTTGTCGGAAAATTAGGCCATGTCATGTACGAGGTAGAGGTAAGAAGAGACAGGTGGACTCGACATCGGAACCAGCTACGCAAGCGGTTAGCTCCAGTTCGCCCATCGACAGAAGGGAATCTCCTTTTTGACATCCTATTAGATACCTTTAGTCTACCCGCACTCCCGATACAGGAAGAAGCACATCGACAGGTCGATCTACGACTTAGATGGTGGTCACTCCGACAACGACAACAAACGGTCAAAATGCAAGTGGACCCCAGAAACGCACGTCATTAAAAGGGGGAGGTGTTTGGGATGTTAGATCTCCAGAACTCATTTGGTAAATGCCTTAATTTTATAATTTTATTTTGGAGATTTAAATTTCCTTGTTTTCGCGCCAAAAGTGCTCTTTTCACCTTCATGTCGTATTTCCCACTTGGGAGAATCTTTAACGCTATTGGTCCGTTGTGTATTTTTAGTATGCTATTTTTGCTACGCTTCCCAAGGACAGTTAATGCTGTATACATACGTTTGATTTGTGTCTGTTATTATTCACTCGTGCTTCTGGCTTACGGAATGTACTTTCTCGTTCCAAGTTAGGACTTCTTCCTCTAGTTAGCGGGGCTGGGACGCATCAAATACCCAGCTTATTGGTCTACGGTCACAAGTCTTTGTTCCGTTCGCAGATTAATTGAACTCGTGATAGCTCTATCTCCAGCAATATGAAGCTAACTCCACAATAGCATTCAAATGGTAGATACATTTGATCTTTTTCTTATTGAATTTCATTGGATATCCATTCTTAATAAGCTGAATAGTCAAATCATCTACAATGGTATTATCACAGCATATCGTTTTACCAATCAGATATAAATGAAAAGATCCTGACTCATCGTGCCTTAATGATTTAACACACGACATCAAGTTGTATTGAGTAAAGTCTGTATTGTTATCCACCATATTCCATCAAATCCATCATATGGTTTTTGACTTCATCTTTTGCATATTGTTGAACATTTCGGAATCCATGTTCACAAACTTAACGTTTGCATTCAAAAGAAGTTTGTACAACTACACTCTTTATCTTGGTTATTGATATAAGAGTGAATTTCACCTGAACACTAATCAAACAAACACATTCTCAATATTCATCTCTTAATTCTTGCTTAACTACCATAATACTGACCCTCTATTAAAATATTCTGTTAATTCTTTTTTAATATGATGTAATGTACTAAGGGTTTAATTGAATTCTACGTTGATTATCATAATCTCCTTTTTCCCAGTAAATCGATATCATTTTATGGTTACTGTGACACTATATAATTATTGCGTAATGTAACTGCTCGAAGGGTATTGTTTATATTGTTGGAAACCATATCGATATATATATATTAGTGTAGAGATATGATATGTAATTCATAGGCATGTAGGCAGTGAATAACTAGTGGGAAGTCGATGTTGTTATGGTATAGCATAGAACAGAGAAACTCAAGGTAATTTCAAAATTTAATACTTCACGGCAGTTCGTTCTGTTTTACTTTGGGGCTGCGAAACGTGGCCACTAAGAGAAGATATCCGTAAGCTACTAATATTTGACCACAGATGTCTTAGAAATATTGCTCTCATCTGCTGGGATCACCGGGTAATTAATAGTTAGGTTAGACGCAGGGTATTAGGGAATGATGGTAAATCAGTTGGTGAGGTTATGAATCTTCATCGACTGAGATGGTTAGACAACGTGTTGCGTATATCTGAACACCGGTTACCACGACGCGCAATGCTGACTAGTTTTGGAGACGGTTGGAAGAAAGTTAGGGTCGGCCGAACCAAAACATGGCATCAGTCCAAAAAGTCACTAACTTCTAATCTAATCCATGTTGGTAGATGTAGACTACTTGATTGGGGTCCGCCTGGCTATGGTAACCAATGTTTGGAGACTGGGTGACACGACTCAGGATCGATCACAATGGCGTCGATGTACACACTCTTTGTCTTCCCTTATACCATGAGATTAAAAATGCTTTATACATTTCTGTCTCCGAACTAATTCTTTCTTCATGTATTATATCCTTATACACAATCTTTCTTTTATATATTACTACTATTGAAGTAACTACTATGAATTTGGTGTTCATGTAGTTGTACTAATGAAGTGTAGCAACTTGGACCAGTGCATATATGTACCTGATCCTACGTTGCAGCTGACTGACTAAATAAATGATGTAACAAATAAATGCGACATTCAAAGAATGGTTTTTTTTTTGGTAAATCAATCATAACATATAGCCTCAAGTAAACTTTCGTTAACCCGAATTGCTATACCACTATGGGGTAAACATTAAAGAAATCACAATAATTGTAGTAGTAATGATAGTAAAAGAATCTAAACATCCGAAATTTATTTCAAGAATTAAGAATGCTGGAACTCAAAATCTAATAGATAACAAATGAATTTTTCTACTCCATTGTGATTGATTCTTCGTTACGTCAGTGTTCATATCCAACCATTATTTACGATATTTACACGGACCCTTATCAACGTACCTTACTACGATATCTTGGTTTGTTAATATAGATATTTCCTGATTTAGTTCTGTATTTCTACATTGGGTTGAATAAACTTACTACTTAGTTTACTATACCCCTTGAACTAATCAGCATAAAGCATTCAACTGTCTTTTCCATTATCCTTTCAGATTTAGAAAAGTTTACATATGAAAAGTTGTTCTGTTCAGAAAATAAAGAGATTTTGCAATAACATAAATTGTGTCGTTTCTAGTATTTTGACACATTGTTGAAACATCTACCATTGGAATGCAGCAAATATATTTTGTTTTCAATACAATAAATTCTATTTACCTAGTGATTAAATTATTCAACATTCAGCCATTAGGGTTCCAGTTTGAACCTCGGTTAATATCAATAATTTTCATTAGGAAAAATATGTTCTGAAGTTCAGTTTATAATTCTTACTTACTTACTTACGCCTGTTACTCCCAATGGAGTTATAGGCCTCCGACCCGCTATGTCCTGGGACTTCTTTTCTAGTTCCATCCAATTACACAGGTTGAAATCATGAGTCAGTTGAAGCTAGACCACCATTGAAAACCTGGGTGCGCACTGCTGAAGAGTCCCATACCAGGACGAAACGGCCGTCCAGTGCTTCCAGGTTTTCAATGGTGGTCTAGCTTCAACTGACTCATGATTTCAACCTGTGTAATTTCTAAAACTCTCCACAAAAACCCATTCCATCCAATTCTTGTTCATTTTTCTCATGTCTATCTCCATTTCCCGGCGTAATGTGTTCTTTGACCTTTTTCTTTTCCTTTGGCCTTCAGGATTCCATGTGAGGGCTTGTCTTGTGACGCAGTTGGGTGCTACCCTCAGTGTGTGTCCTATCCACTTCCAGCGCTTATTCCTAATTCCTTCCTCCGCTGGGATCTGGTTTGTTCTCTCCCACAGTAGTTTGTTGCTAATAGTATCCGGCTAATAGACCCGAAGTATTTTGCGTAGACGACTATTAATAAACACTTGTATCTTCTGGATGATGGCTTTTCTAGTTCCCCGGGTTTCCGCCCCATACAGTAGAACTATCTTGACATATGTATTGAAAACTTTGACCTTGGTGTTGGTTGACAGTTGTTTTGAGTTCCAGATGTCCCGCAGTTGTAAATATACTGCTCTTGCTTTGCCGATCTGCGCCTTCACATCTGCATCAGATCCACCGTGTTCATCAATGATGCTGCCCAAATATGTAAAGGTTTTTACATCTTCCAAATTTTCTCCGTCAATTCTGATTGGATTGGTGCATGCTGTGTTGTTCTCTCCACGCTATCAACTGCTTTTTTGTAGTCAATGAAGCTGATGTAGAGTAATGAATTCCATTCAATTGATTGTTCCACAATGATCCGTAGAGTTGTGATTTGGTCTGTACACGATCTATCCTTACGGAATCCTGCCTGTTAGTCTCGAAGTTGGACGTCTACGGAGTCCTTCATTCTGTTTAACATTACTCTGTTGAAGACTTTTCCCGGTATTGAAAGAACAGTGATGCCCCAGTAGTTATCACAGTTGCTGAGATCGCCTTTCTTTGGTATTTTGACCAGAAGTCCTTCTTTCCAGTCTTTTGGTACTTGTTCTTCATCCCAAATCTTATTGAAGAGAATGTGGTGGATCTTTGCAGTTGTCGCTACGTCTGCTTTCAGTGCCTCTGCTGGAATGTTGTCTGGTCCTGCTGCTTTGGTCCATGTGATTCCCATCCTATAAGTGTATTTTGTGCTTGTTTGGACAGCATCAATGCAACTCCTTGTGTATATGAGGCACTTTCTTCTTCATGACTGGAGTATAACAGAAGCTCCCTTGAAGTTAGTCGTTGTTGTCCAACCTGCGTCCAATGTGTTTCTTTAATTCCAAGCACCTCCAGGTTTTATCTCTTCATTTCTGCAGCAATTTGGTAGACTCTCCCGGTGTCCCACGTTGTACGAGCATTCCATGTACCTAAATTAATGGTTGCTGTGGTTGTCAGCAGCGGCGTCAGCCTCGTGACTTCCGAAGTAACTTGGGTTTCACCATGAGGCGTGATAACTCTTCTAAATGAAGACTTGCTTACTCCCAGATCAGAGTTTAAGTGGTTTGAATTGTTTTTTCTGGTTATCGTTTTAGTTTTCTACGGGATGGGGTCTCTAACCCCATGCCCAACCCTCCTCCTTTATCCGGTCTTGGGACCGGCAGTAGCCTCAGAGGGGCTCCAGGCGGAGTCAGTTTATGATTCATTACTTAATAAATGACTTACGATACATACAATTATATAAAGCCTCCAGAGGGGCTCCAGGCGGAGTAAGTAATTACTCAAGTCGTCTAAAAGTTTAATCACAAAAGCCTAAAACAAGTATCAACCATTATTCTAATTTAAATTTTCATTCTGTTCGTATTGTTAATTTAGGAATTTTATACATTAAAATGGAATAGTAAAGAAAAACTACAATATGCTCCAAATATTGTTGCTTCTACAAGATGGTTTAATCAAGTTAGTTTTTTTGTTATTTGTTTATTGTTCTTTAAAAGATTCATTCTTTTTTACTGTTTAACTGATTCACATCGGAACGATTTCTTATAAGTTTATAATGTTGTTGTTGTGTTTTCGTTTGAAGTATCATCAACTGCTTACCAAAATATCTTTTATTTTGGGGGCTCCGGATGTGGCCCCCTAAAAAACCACCTGCTTCGGTTTGGGCACCCGGGCAGTAGTATCCCAGCCAGCCCTCACGCATATCTACTTGATACCTCTATGTACTAATGTTTATGTGTTTATATAAATGAATAGATGCCAAAATATTTTTATTAGTGCTACTGTTCTAACTTTCTGTCTTCTACTAGCCCCCAAATGCCCTGGTATGGCCGAGAGTGGAGAGAGTCAGCTCTCCCCCGAAAAATGCTCTCACATAGCCACGTGCACACAACTGCCAGAAAAGTCCTACTCACTGCATTCTCGTGGCATTTCTGTTTTTTACGAAATTGAAAGGACGAAAAGCGAACCTCCTGCGTTTTAACCAGGTTGATGGACATCGAGAGTCCACCTAGGTGAATTGGGAAACCCTGATTCCAAACCAATGGTCCGCATGGGTTGGCTCCAGGATCCTGAGGGAAGAAATGATGTATGAACCAATTATTGCTCACCGACTACCATGGGACTGCATCTCCTTACGTTGTTCCACTGCGTTGTGGATTGGACCTTTAGGCTCCGGGTGTGGCCCCCTAAGGAAACCACTTGCTTGAACACCCGGGTAGTATCGCGGCCCTCACACAAATCGAATGATTTATGTGTCGTATATATGTATTTGTTGCCTCCTACCAATTTTTATGTGTTTAAATAAATAGTTAAATTACAAAATATCTTTTATTAGTGCCACTATTCTAACTTTCTGTCTTCTATTATGATTGATGAATTCAAATCCATGACACTTATGTTTAATTCTAGTAATTAGGCAAAAATAGCATTAAATCTTAAATGTTAACAATATAAGTGAGATTCATCAAAAGAAAACATGTTAATAGCGAGAGAGAGAGAGAGAGAGAGAGAAAATACAGTCTCAACTATGAAACGTCTTTCAGTTATAACTAATGTGTGGGGACATGCGAGATCAGTACAAAGAAATAAAATTAACACGATATGTAATAAAGAATTCAAAGTAATGGTAAAGTCAATAGTAGTGAGAAAAATTAAATAATAAAAAGTTGTGTATCTGTAATGGAATCCTGAAACTCACCATATGGTGTAGGATAAAATGTGTACACAGCCTAACCCTGATCCATTATCTCTAACTACTGATTGCAGTTATCATCATGCGGACTATAACCGGTTACTTTGCACCTACCAATACAGCCTAGTTCAAAAATCAATGATTTTATGGATTAGCTAGTGGCATGTCTTGATTTGGACGCTTTCATAGCTTTCCTTTAATGCACTCTTATCCCAGTCAAAGTTGCGCATTGAAATAGGCTATGGTTAGGTATATGTAGTCTATATCTCAACCACCTAAGTTATTAATAGTTCACACTTTCAAACAATTTATCCAAATACCCTATGTCTGACCCTAGCATCACTCTCAAACATTGTAACTAGTGATAATTTCTTATTTATAATTTTACCATAAGGTAACGTTTATATTATTTAATCAAACAGTTATCTCATCGCCAACTTTATATATATATATCAGGTATAAAGTTGATGTAGTTGTAAGGCTTCATTAATTGTGCTCATTGAGGTACCTGGTTATCACCATTATTTAACATTTTCAGTAGTTATTTAACTTTTTTAGACTTTTTCTAAAAGTTATTTTTTCGAGGTTTCAATAAAATGTTTCTATGCAATATAACTAAATCGATAATAACCATCAATATAATGTCTCTTTGTTAATCTATAATATATGATTAAACTATATAATTCTATTTGACCTTTATAATATAACTAAGAGAATTTAGCTTAATATTTATTACAGAAAATATTAATTTTCCTTATCTATCACTATGACAACTAGAGATTTCTTTTCTTTCTTTTTTTTTCTAAAAGAACAAAGAGATATAATCTTTATCTTTTCGAACGAACTTTAAATTCCTGTTCTTTATCATTGATGTTTCTTCTCCCCCCCTCTCTCTCACACACACATTGTTTATTGCTTGTTCATTATCATACTTGTTATTACTTTATTTGTCGCCCCCAAATGCCCTGGTACGGCCGAGAGTGAGGAGAGTCCGCTCTTCCTCTCAAAATGCTCTCACATGACCACGCGTATGTAGCCTCTGCCAGGGAAGTCCTACTCATTGCCTTCTCGTGGCGGGGGCGTTGTTTACGAAATTGAGAGGACGAAAAGCGAACATCCGGCGCTTTAACCGGGTTGGTGGACATGGAGTATCCACCTAGGGGATTTGGAAAATCCTGATTCCAAAACAATGGTGCACATGGGCTGGCTCCAGTATCCTGAGCGAACAAATGACGTATGAACTAATCGTCGGTCACCGGCTACCATAGGACTGCATCTCCTTACGATGCTCCACTGCCTTGTGAGTCGAAGGCTCCAAGTGTAGCCCCCCGAGGAAACCACTTGCTTTGGTTTGGGCACCCGGGCATTACCACATCCTTCACACATATGAAATGAGATTTGTGTGGCACATATGTATCTGGTGCCTCTTTTTACCAATATCTATGTGTTAAAATAAAATAAAAAATTTATTTGTCGCTCAATTTCATGAATTAGTTGAGGTTAGACATTAACACCGTTGGATGCCAGTCAGCTCAGTGGTCTAATGGTTAATCGTTCGCGTGAGAGACTGATAGGTCCTGGGTACAAATCTCGCGAGGCGGGATCGTGGATGCGCACTGGCACTGAGGAGTCCCACAATAGGACGAAATGGCCATCGAGTGATTCCAGATTTTCTATAGTGGTCTAGCTTCAATTCACTCATGATCTCAACCATTGAAATTACTATAATATCTATAAAAAGCCTTCTGATATAAAATCTATCTATTTTTAGATTATATTCTGGGTTCAAAAAGATATATTAAATGAGAAAAGTTTATCGAAGCGAACAGAAATATTATCACATTTTATACGAATAGCAAAGGTTAGTGTATATACCTACTATTTTTCTTTTGGTTATTAATCTATATTTTGAATTGAGGTCTATGCTATTACTTGTATGTCTGTAAAGCCAGTAGTCAGATTTATGGTTAGTTTGGGAGTAGTAGTCCACAATGTCAGTATGACAGTTAATTGCAAACTTAGTCTAGTGATCACTAAGTTGCCACTACTCGTTTGCCTATAGGGTCAGTAATGTCTTTGTACATAATCTCACTACAATTAAATGTGACAACATACAACTATCTCTATTGTTGGTAATATACATTGAAGTTAAGCAGTACTATTCAATTCTATCATTCTCACCTAACTAACTTTGTTGTCGAGATTATTCTCAAAATACTTGTAATAGAAATTTACTGTAGTTTTAAATCAATTGCCCGGAAAACAACTATTCCACTTTTGACTCTCATAAGATTTGTTCTTACCGAATAATAACACAAACATTACTGAAATTACAATCACAAGTGTCCTGAAATTATTAGCTCATCAAAGTATAAAGTACTCATACAATACCCGTAGGAAGATATATTACCATTCCTGACAAACCGTTGGTAATAGTTGCGAAGTTCTTGTATCTTCCTAGGTACTAGTAGTAGAGCAGATAAAATCAGTGTACCTTATAGACATGCCTAGTTGAAATGCACTGATCGGGGATCAACTTTAATATCACCGCAGTAGTAAAACACCTAGTGTACGGCCTATCGATCAAAACAGGTTCGATATACACTTGTGAAACAGTTTTAAGGATTGACATCAATGAGTTGCTCATATCTGTTACTGCTAACAAATAGTTAATTTAATCGATAACATTCAGTCATCTCTAAAAACATTAGATAAACATGACATTAATCACTACTTATTGATCAATCACTTGTACATATTGTCATCCAATGGTTTGCATTTTTAACTTGAGTTAATTCTTTATATTTTAAAACTATCTACCGAAATTAAATAGTCTCTATGATCCTTTTTTCATTCATGACTTATCTCGAAAAGAATTCCTAAAGTTTTATTGAGAAGTTGGTGACCGCATCATGGCCCAGTCACGCTGTTATAAGTGAAATAAATGACACTGAGAATTGATCATCTAGTGTTGTGAAATAAACTGAAGTTAGAAATGTGGGATTATTAAATCCCTGATTGGTAATTTAAAAGTAACGCACACTTGATCATGAAACCTGAAGATCCTAAGTTCCACATGTCGAAAGGTTTACACATAAGCGTTCATGATGAGTATCGATCTAGGCTGAAATAATATTCAAAATAAATTTCAGTGCTCTATTTGTCTAATTCAGCACACTATAAAAAACAAAATAGGGAAACTAAATAATCTCAAATATGGCGAGTTCTTTAGTTAACAACGAAATCGTATTTTATACTGTCATCACCAATGAAAGTTCTGTTTGATAAAAATATAGTCTCTGATTGCCATGAGCTATAATACAAGCATGTTCAGAATGTCTTTATACTTCTCTAAATGGAAAACATTTTCTCATAACCGGTCTACGTTAACGCATGAAGTAATAAATTGCGTCGACCACTTCACTTATTTTTGGAAGTCATATCAATCGGTGAGTTAATGTCTGGCTAAACCTTGGCACCAATTTAAAATGCTCAGTCGGTATTTTTCAACGCACGTCACTTTGGGTTCAGTCGAGATGTCCGTCTACCAGCCAAGGGGCAGGTTTACTGTACAATGATTTACTCCATTCTACTCTATGGCTGTAAAATCTAGTGTTTTAAAAGAGATTATATCCATAGTTTACTAGTGTTCGATTATAAATGTCTTTTTACCACCAAATTAGCAATAATGGTGGTGGATTCACTGTATTAGGTAGAGATGACAAATCAGTCATTAAGGTTAGAAATATTTATCATCTAAGGTGGGTGAAACATGTGTAACGTAAACCTAACCACCACTTACGTGGACAGGCGATGTTGTCTAGTGTCGGAGTAGGCTGGAAGAATTTAGAGACGTCCAAATCAAGTCATAGCATTAATTCATAAAGGTACTGACTATCGGTCTTACCCATGTATATAGGTGTAGATTATCTGGTTAAGGTCCGTTCTATCAGCATAATTAGCAGTTGACATGGCTCACAATAATTTAGTGATCCAGATGCATTCACTCTTTGTCTTGCCTTCAATCCTATGTTTTTTTTAATTATCCTAAAATTATTCCCATCTAACAAGTTCGTATTTTGGGTTAGAATCTTTTCCTCTAATACTGATTCTGTTAATAGTTATATTATGGCATTTCATTGTACTAAAGTAGTATACCAACTTGAATCAATGTACATTTGTCAACGACAGTGGATAATCATCACGATGTATTTCGAATTGACTAAAGTTGGAATTATATCATTCGTCAAGCGTTCACCTTCAGACGTGAAGGTTCTATGTTCTATCTCCGATGTGTTTGTGAATACTAAAGAGTCTATGATTAGTCTATGACTAAAACACCCTACAAATTAAATCAATCTTCACAAAATTATTTCAGTCTAATTCTGTTACATAATTATTCAAATTACTAATCTTGTTATTATTGTCATAAATAAAATTATATTGGTCATTTATATTTTCTCTCACTTAAACATACATACACACACACACACACCTACCCATTACTTTATACAGAAACTAGTTGATTTAAATAATTTCTCATCAGGAATGGCTATTGTATCTGCTTTACATATGCAATGTATTCATCGATTAAATGCTACATGGTCTAATTTATCTTCACGTGATCGTCATACATTTCGAAAATTGTCAGATTTGTTTTCTCAAGAAGAAAATTTTATTAATCTTCGTTCAGCTGTAGATAATTCACGTCTTCCATGTATACCATATTTAGGTAAGTTTTAATTGTTGTTAAGTGTTTATAATAGATAACATTAATCACGATTAGACTTTGATGACATAAATATTTGTAAAACGGCGGTATCGAATACATATGCACCGCACAGGTCAATTGATTTGTGTGTGAGCTGTGATACTACCCGGGTGCCTAGACCACCAAAGCAGGTGGTTTTCTTAGGGGGCCACACCCGGAGCTTTCGACCTAAAGGTCTAATCCACAAGGTATTGAAGCAACGTCAGCAGATGTAGTCCCATGGTAGACGGTGCCCAATAATTCATTCGTACGCCATTCGTTTCCTCAGGATACTGGAGCCAACCCATGTGGACCATTGGTTTGAAATCAGGGTTTTCCAAATCCCCTAGGTAGATTCTCCATATCCACCAACTCGGTTAAAACGTCGGACATTCGCTTTTCGTCCTCTCAATTTCGTAAACAACACCCCAGCTAACAATAGGTAATGAGTAGAACTTCCCTGGCAATAGTTGGCTGTGTACATGTGGCCATGTGTGAGAGCATTAGGAGAGGGAGAGCTAAATCTCCCCACCCTCAGGGACAGCATTAGACTAAATTAAAACAATGAGTCCATTTTGATAAATTTGATTATTAGAACTATGTGATGTATATTAAGTGTAATACATTGCGAACAATCTAATCACATATGTACTTGTTCAAAAAATAGTTTGTTCTCACTCGTAAACCTACCCTGGTAATGTTAGCTTATTATCCAGATTGATGAGGTTTTACATTAATTTTCATATCATTTTATTTATTATCTCATTTCTCTTCTCATCCTCCATTTTTTTAGTCTAGTTGACCTTTTATTTTTATATGTAAATGTTTTAACAACAAGTATATGTGTGATCAGATTGTTCGAAATGTATTACACTAATCTATTAGCACATAGTTCTGATAAACTTCATCTTCCTATTGCACTATTCAAATAGACTAATTAGTGTGTTTAGTTAAAACTATTAACAATGCCCAATATATATTCAGAAGGGTTTTTGTGAATGTTATAGTAATTTCAATGGTTGAGATTATGAGTCAATGGAAGCTAGACCATTATGGAAAACCTGGAACCACTAGACGACTGTGTGAAGTTAAACATTAACACTGTTAGATACTGGCTCAGTAGTCTAGTGTTTAAACGCTCGAGGGCGAGACTGATAGGTCCTGCGTTGGAATCTCGTGAGACAGGGTCGTGCGTGCTCACTGCTAAGGAGTCCCACAATAGGACGAAACGGCCATCGAGTGCTTCCAGGTTTTCCATGGTGGTTTAACTTCAGTTGATTCATGAAATATATATTCCTCATTAGTGTACACTTCAAACCTCGTATTGGAAATTTGAATCCAGAGCTACTCTAATAGATTGTTCTTTGATACCACAGCAGACGTCTATGATGGAGTTATATTTATTACTGTTACTTTCACTTCCTAGCAAAATAATTCAGTGTTTAATTTACATGAAAATATAAATGTAATTACCTGTAATTGAGAAGATAGTTATCCATATTGTATTGTTGTGTGAGCTGAAATTAACAATGTGTCAAGATGTCACATGATGCACCTTATTCTAATTGTTAGTTCTTCAAAGTCAAGAACCTGGATTTTACACTAATTTGCACTTATCAGCAAGGTATATCTAGAATTTTAAGGGCATTAATCCTCGTGTTGTGATTCCCATGAAAGTCATTTATTGTTAGTAACTAGTTTTTACTACTGATTTATTACAGTTACAAATGATGACTTACTGGACTGTTTTCCACATTAATCTCTTAGTAGTAGTAACCCATGTTATATTACTCCAATGCATAGTAGTAGTCAGATTCTATCAATCATTCTATCAATGATAGCAACTGATGGTTAGAGAGCCTGAATGACATGGCTCAAAATCGTTTGCAATGGCGCAGGTGCATACACTCTTTGTGTTCTCCCAAATTTTGATCTCCTTATTCCTCCTTGTCTCTTTTTTTTCTCCTCTCGAATTTATTTCACTGTATTATACTCTTTAAATAACATCTCCAAACACTAATCTCCCGGATTACTGCTTATACTCTTATTACCTCTACCACTACTGGATTTGAATCGACAACGACATCTCTGTGCTAATGTGTATGGCAACTCGAACTGATGTACGCACGTACGAAATTCTGCGTTGTTACTGACTGACTAAGCTGGCTTCTCAAATCTGCAATACATTATGTTACGATGTTCAAACTTTGCTACCTCATTTGTTAAAATCTAAATATGGATTGAGATCTTGGACCGATTGATGTTAGACCACCACTGAAAACCTAGAAGCACTTGACGGCCGTTTCGTCCTGTTGTGGGACTCATCAGCAGTGCGCATCCACGATCCCCCGCAGGATTAGAATCCAGGGCCCTCAGTCTTGCACGCGAACGCTTAGCCTACTAGACCACTGAGCCGGCATCCAACAGTGTTAATGTCCAAACCCAACCAATCCACGAAATCGCGCAATCATCTTCCATTGTACTGAGGTAGATACCTGTCTCTACCCGACACGGATTAGCTCCACTGGTCATGGCTTCTCACTAGAGCTCCGAGAATTTTCTCACGAAGCAAGTCATTAGTGAGCACATAGTAATTATCAGTATAGGGTTGTGGAGATCTCAATCAATAACTTAATAATTTCCATAGACATAAAGAGTTCATTATTTGTGTGTGGGCGTGATACTGCCCGGGTGCCCAAACCGAAGCAGGTGGTTATCTTAGGGGGCCACACCCCGAGCCTTTGACCTAAAGGTCTAACCCACAAGGCAGTGGAGCATCGTAAGGAGATGCAATCCCATGGTAGCCGGTGACCAACGATTGGTTCATACGCCATTTGTTCCCTCAGGATACTGGAGCCAGCCCATGTGCACCATTGGTTTGGAATCCGGTTAAAGCGCCGGACATTCGCTTTTCGTCCTCTCATTTTCGTAAACAACACCCCCGCCACGAGAAGGCAGTGAGTAGGACTTCCCTTGCAGAGGCTGTATACGCGTGGCCGTGTGAGAGTATTTCGAGAGGGAGAGCGGACTCTCCCCACTCTCGGCCGTACCAGGGCATTCGGGGGCAAAATCGCCTGCGACCGCCGGGAGTCGAACCCGGATCGACTGCTTGGAAGGCAGCCATGATAGCCACTACACGACGGTCGCGGACTGGTTGGAGAAAGCGGAGAGGTGGTCAGTGCATGACATGGTGTCGTGGTATGAAAGAAAGCTCCAAAGGACTGGCTTTTGTCGGTCCTTCACGACTCCCTGGTTGGGGTCTGAGAGAAGGGGCTACACAGTGGCTAGAGACGTTATCAGATATGGGTCAGAATAGAAGCCAGTGGCGATCCTGCTGTAACCTTCTTTTACTTTCTCCATAAAAAGTGGTTGTGTCTCCCTTACCTGAAAGATTTCTTCTGATTGTACCTTGCTGTTCCCTCGTTACTACCACACTACCTTACACCAACCTCTTTGTTATTGTTCTCTTTTTTTTGCGCTCCTTAGTTTTTTTTTCTTTCTATTTCTCTTCGAATTCCCATTGTTTTGTGTGGCGCATATATATTGGCGCTTTATTGTACCAATATTCATGTGTTCAAATAAAATAAATAATAAATAATAATAATTTCCACAACCCTATACTGATAAAAATCCAAATGGTTTATAATCATGATATCAATCGTCCATTTCACAATCAGTGGGAGCGGTGTTTATTAAGTATTTTTTCTCACCTATATAAAAACTGTTACATTTTCTCAGTAGTTTTGCAATTACGTAATTTGTTTTATTTGGATTTCCGTTTGGACGTATGCGTATGTAACTGTAACAATTACCCATATTTTATGTTCTGTCTGTTATTTTGTCATTCATATGTCGTATATATATATATATTCCATCACGTATACTTATCCATTAATGTGTAGAACGTGAATTGTATATACTATTAATTGTGGTTGTGGTTAGTGTTTTCAGCTGTTCATAGTCGTCTATTTGAATACTGCCAAAGATAGGAGCCCTGTGAAATATCGTGTCTGGCTGATTCGATTGATAATCTTATCCTCTTATTCATTATTTAGAAGTTGATGATAAGTGATTAACTATAAAACTATTATTAGGAAAATGATTTTTTACTACCTTTTTTTACTCTACCTCACTGTTACCATGTTGTTGGGGATGTTAAATTCTTAGAGCTCACTTGGTAAATACCTTATTTTTGTAATTCTATTTTAAAATCACCCACTTTCATCTTCATGTCGTATTTCTCATTTGAGAGGACCTAAAATGTTATTGGTTCGTTGTCTTTTAATACGCTATTTTGTAACGTTCCCTAAAGACATTTTTACACTCTATATATACACTTGATTTGTGCTTATTGTTCGTGCTTCTGGCTGCTTGTGGAATACATTTCCCACTTTTGAGCCTGGGATTCTCTCTCTAGTTAACCAGGCTTGGACGCATCGGAATGGTTAGTTTATTGGTCATTGTGTCATTGAATCTTCGTTCCGTTCGCAGATTAGTTGAACTCGTAATCTCTTCGAACACACCACATGTTTAACAGAAGTTTATTATCACTATTATTGTAATTATTATCATCCTGAAAAATATGTGTATATATTTAGGATTGCACAACATTGAAAATGAATTCCTCGGAAAGAGAACTATTCTCTAAACTAATCTTTCTTATTTTAAGACATACTTTTGACAATGTTGCTTTCTTCTCACTTTTCATGTATTGTTTTCTCATCCAGAGGTGTACCTTTAAGTTCACATCTCTCCTTAATGAAATGTCCATTGTTAGCTTGTCGAACAATGACTGAATGGTCTAGAGGTTAAGCATTCGCGGGTCGGGGTCGTAGATGCGCACGGCTGAGAAACCCCATACTAAGGTGAAACAGTTGTTCAAGGTTTCCATGGTAATCTAGCTTTAATTGACTCATTAATTCAACTATTTAATAGCCTAATGATTAAATAATTTAATCTTATTTTCTTCACAATCAAATCAC